AGTTCGCTCTTGCAACGAATTTACGGGGCGCTAGGGCGAGAGCGAGATTTTGACAAAGAATCGCCCTCCACCCGCAAAACTCTTGCACGAAGGTGCGCGGTGCTGAGGCGAAAGTCACACATTGAAAGAGGACCGTCCTGCATCCACGAAGCCCTTGTAAACTTTCAAGGCGAATGTGCGCAGCGCCAAGGCGATAACGACATGTTCAAGCGGACCAAACTCGACCAGGGAAATGCCTGCAAACCTTTAGGGCGAACGTGCACGGCGCTTCGGCGACAACCACATTTCCCCAAGTAGGCTTGCCTAAGGGGTTCTCACCTGTTTAAAGGTTGGTGCCTCGGGGGGCTACTTTGCCCGTTGCTCGGAGGTTCCTGGGGTTTCTCGGGCTCCTTGGGTTCGTTGGGTTCCTTGGGTTCCACGGGTTCCTCGGGCTCCGCGGGCTCCTCGGGTTCCACGGGTTCCTTGGATTCCTCGGGTTCCTCGGGTTCCTCGGGTTCCTCGGTTCCTCAAGTTCCCCGGGTTCCTCAGGAATGCCGAGCAACGACGAGCAATGCGAAGCAATGCCAAGCACTGCCAAGCAATGCCAAGCAATGCCATGCCAAGCAATGCCTGCGCCCATGCAATGAAAAATTGTCCCCTCATTGGGGTCACGCCTGGTTCATTTGAAAACGGACCGCCCTCCATCCGTAACAAACCTGCAAACTTTAAAACGAATCTGCGCGGCGCTAAGGCGTTAGCCACATTTCCAAAACGGCCCGCCCCCCATCCATGAAACTGTTGCAACTTAGTTGCAACAGTTTCGCGTTATTACCAGCGGTGTGTCGCGCGCGACCGCGCGCGCAATTGCGTTCGCGTGCCCGCTCCTCCGACAGGGGCCAGGGCGGACATCGTGTTTTGTATTCCACCCACACCTTTTTTCAAAGTAATAATGGGTAACTACGCCTCTGAAGAAGAAGAGGAGGAGGAGAAGGAGGAGGAGGAGGGAGGGGCGCCCGAAGCAGCATGACCCATGCTTCGCGAAGTAGGCCGCTGCGGGGGCCGCGAGGGCCGCTGGGTGCAGTTGAAACAACATGGATGGAGGAGAGGAGGAGGGAGAGGAGGAGAGGGAGGAAGGGATTCCTGCAAGGCTTCTGACGTCCTGGACCTCTTCTGGGGCTTCGTGAACCGCCCTCGACGCCACGGCTGGCTCTCCCCTCGAGATCCTGGACAGAGCGCGCCTCGAGAGAGAGAGAGGTCCGGAGGCCGTTCTGGAGAGTGAGGGCCGAGCCAGGCGTTGATGCACAAACGCCACGACGGCTGGTACTTCTACAGTGCTGGGCCTTTTTCCAGCCGAAAAAAGGATCGAGAGAAATATCGGTTAAGAGCTCTGGACCGGCTTTCCGAAGTCTCTTGAAGCAAGCCTGGGCCAATGTCTGGCCTGCATGGGATCGCTTGCCATCACTGCCGACACTCGCTGGAATAGCCGCGCCCAGACGGCGCACAGGCAGAGGCAGAGGTCCTGGGTTCCGTTTCTGGGCCCTCGGACAATCCGTCAAGGACCCGAGTCGAAGCGTGGGTTCTGCACGGGGAGAGGGGTCGAGAGCTACGGGGGCCAACGTCGGGAACTAGAGCACGGTATACTGAGCAGCCCAGCGTCGGGACGGCCGTGTGACGCATGGTGTGTATGCGCCGAGTGGCTCAAGGGAGAGCGGGTGGATGCTGTGCAATTGGCGTGGCAAGGGCGTGATCGGGAGACACGTCCGTGTGTGCACATGGCATGTTGGAGACCCGTACGTGTGTGTACGGGTGCGCATACATGAGTACGTGCGTGCGCATGCTGTGGCCGAAGGGTGACGTCGCGAGGAGGCAAGGAAAGGAAGGGAAGGACGAGGCCGCACATATAATTCATGATACAAATGAATGGGATCACGTTGCATCAAGGCGGGAGTCCCAGACTGAGGACTTGGTGGGAGAAACTAGGGCACCTGATTGAAACAGCTGCGCCACATTGTTCCCCGCATATGCTTTAGCATGCAGGGGTTTCGATCTGGCAATAAAAAATGTGATCGGAGAGACTTCTGCCCACTCGGCTGATGCGGTTGCCACTCGTTGCGGCTTTGTTGATGAGGTTGCCACTGATGTGGTTGCTGCTCATGTAATCGTTGCTGCCTATGTGACTATGATGCTGTTGCAATAATGATGCGGCTGCTGATCATGTCGACACTGCCGTTCATGTCTGGCACCTACGCCAGCTCTGTAGGCCACCTCTGTGGGCTGGGCGCCTTGGCCCTCGAAAAGTGGCGACCACCACAGGGATGGCGCTCCTCCCAATGGGCTCGAAAGCTCTGCCGGCTCCGTGGGCCAGCTGTGGGCCTGGCGCTGCGGCCTTCGAGCAGTGCCGATCCTCAGGCTGGCACCCCCCCCCCCTGGTGGGCCGGAGGCCTCTGCCGGCTCTGCGGGCCAGCTGTGGGCCGGGCGCACTGGCCTTCGACTAGTGGCGACCCTCACGAAGATGGCGCTCCTCCTCCCAGCGGGCTGGAGGGCTCTGCCAGCTGTGGGCCAGCTGTGGGCCGGGCGCACATTGGTCTTCGAAAAGTGGCGACCCTCAAGAGGAGGGCGCCCCTCCTGGTGGGCCGTAGGCCAGATGTGGGCCGGGCGCATTGGCCCTCGAAAAGTGGCGACCCTCACGAGGGCCAGCTGTGGGCCAGGCGCCCTGGCTTTCGAGCAAGACGTGCATTTGAAGTCGACAGTGGGGCAATTTCAACTTTATCGAGGTAGTTCCTCCTTCTCCTCGTTATCATCCTGCTTCCCCTCGTCATCCCCCTGCTCCTTCTTCGAATATTGAAAGAACGAATCGCCTCAATCGCGCCGGAACGCGCTCGCCGAGGGAAGGGCGGGAAGGGCTGCAGCCCAAACATGTTGCTGCAGGTGCAGAATTCAGATCACATAGAAGCTGCCAGTGCTGAGATGTAAAGTTAACGGCGAGCAAGGGGGGGAAGCGAACGCCTTCTCCGAAGGCTCGGAAGTCCCCTGGCCTTCTGAGAAGTTTTCTAAGTGCAAGCTGCATGACACAGCGGTAGATGCGCAGGCATATATCTCCGCAGCGCTGCGGGGAGGAGAGGACGCACGAAGGGAGGGAGGGAGGGACGCGCAACTAGCGAGGCTCAGAGGGAGAAAGAAAGAGGGACGGGCAACAAGGACGACAGAGGAAAAGCGAACAAGAAAACTCGAGCGGCGGCGCGGCAGGCGGCAGCCTGGACCCAGCTGTCCAGGAGGGGGGGGGGGATACTGCCAGGATGAGAGCGATGAGGAGAAACTGACGGTTGGAACCTTTCGCTTAGCGTGACGCGGCATGAGCCCTGGCGACACGCTATGCTGTGCGACCTGATAGCGCGTCGCTCCGCTCCGCGGGGCGGGAGGCCGGGAAGGGCTCGGAACGTTGACGCTCGGTTGCAGGAAAGTGGTCGGCGTGTCCCGCCGCAGCGTGGCAGGCCAGAATCGGAATCAAAATGGAAAGGAAACATGCTCTGCGAGTCACGCAGCCCCCAGTGGATGAAAGGGAGGGGGAGAGAGAGAGGAGGAGAAGGCAGAGTGGGGCGATGAGGCAAAATGAGCAGAGGGAAGAAGACGAGGAGGACGAGGATGAGGACGACGATGAGCAGGATATTCAGAGGTCCCCAGGGGCTCTGGGCATCCCCGGAGGCCAGAAAGAGCCGACCACATCCGAAAACCTGCCCGCGAGATTGGATCATCGATCCCCGGGACGGAGGAGACGGACGAGGATGAAGCAGAACAAGAGGGCATCCCCACGGGCAGGCTGGAAACGCCGGGAAAGGCCAACAGCATGCTGAAGATTGCTGCAAGAGCTCCGTGCGTGCGCGCGGCGGGTGCCCAAGGCCGACCTCATCTTGTTCTTGCGGTCGTCCCACTCCTGGTCGAATCGGACCTCCGAGGAGGGAGTGGGGAGGGGGCAGGAAGTGACGAGGCAGAGGAGGAGCAAAGGACTGCCCATGTTTCCTCAACTTCGGCCTTCAGAAACCAGTTTGAGAACGCATGAAAAACGACCCCCGCCCCCCGCGTCGAGCGGGCCCAGGACGTCGCCGCGCGCGCGGGGCCCCCTCTGCGGCAGCTGGCAATGGTCTCGCCGACAGGGCGCCTACACTTACGCTCATTCGCCGTAAATTGCAAAACGCTGACATGTAACATCCATAGTTGTGGGGGCTGGGGTCGGTCTCCCACTTCAGTTTCGGCTCCCAGGGCCGTCAAAAAGAAATCCCCCAAGGAACACGTCGAGAAACCCGGGGGCCCGTGCCACGAAACAGCTGGAAAAAAACGCACTATCAGATAACGGGCAGGAAGGAGAGGAGCGACGAACGATCAACACGCACCCATACCCATAGGGGAGACAGAATGAGCTACGGGTGCGTGTTGTCGGATGGGGGTCCCCGCTCGAACAGGAGCCTCCCCAGGGGTCCGACAACCCGCACCCATACCCATAGCCAGTCCTTCTCCCTCCTACCTATGGGTATGTGCATTGTTCGTTCGTCAAGGAGGGGGAGCATGGGAGCATGGGAGCGACAGCAGGAAATGGAGAGGTTGCGCAAGCGGAGATCACCATGAGCAGGAACTAGATGCAGCTGAGGGAGGGAGACGGCGGAGATGGACGAGGACAAACAAAAAAGGATGAAAGGAGGAGAGGAAAGGAAAGGGGGAAGCGAAGGACGAGAGGGTGGAGATGGAGAACAGAAATGAGGAGGACGAGGAAGAGGAGTTACACCTCCTCAACATCAGCGTTAGCATCGTCTTCCTCCTCCTCACCCTCGTCCACATACTCATGATCCTTCCAGTCCACCTACCCTGCCCGGAACATGTTCCTCTCCTGCTGCGCACGGGCCGCCCCGTCCAGTACCTTGTCGCCCTCGTGGCAGTTCTGGAGCACGGGGTTGTCCTTCACGTGAACGAAGACGTCTTCGGACCCGTCGTCCGGGGTCACGAAGCCAAAGCCCTTGTCTTCGAACCATCTCGAGGCACTTTTGATCTGGCCCAAGAAAACATAAACAGCTGTCGCACCACCAACGAGACGGCCCCAGATCCAGCGGCACCCGCCCACCAGTCGTCGAGCCACCTCTCGCTAAATCTCACTGCTCGCCGTCGGACGAAGCCATCCGCAGTGGGTGGAACGTTATAGTGGGGGCCCGACCACAAGACACCGTCCACAAGAAACCCAACCCTGCGAACTCCCCGTGTGGGAACGTCGCGCGCTCCATCGCAAAACCGTCGGAAACCGAAAAACCCACGGCACCCTAGAGGCAAGCATGTTGCTTCTTGGCACGGGCCTCCACTGCATGTTGGGCGTCCGAGTTATCCGGGGTAACTCGGGCCCGGGGTAACTTGGGTTCGGATTCCCGAAAAAGGAACCCGAGTTAGCCCTGACACGAGTTACCCCTGATGAGTCGGGGCTCTGGGCACCCGAGTTATCCGGGGCAACTCGGGCCTGGGGTAACTCGGTAGCTCGGGCTCGGATTCCTGAAAAAACGAACCCGAGTTAGCCCTGACACGAGTTACCCCTGATGATTCGGGGCTCTGAGTACAGTCAACCCGCACAGTAAGGATGGGCAACCTTCCCATGGGTACAGTACCCTTGCATCCTTGCCTCCTCGGTCCATCCTTCGCCGCTTTCGCTGGCCGCGCCCCGCTCGAAAAGCTTCGAACTGGGCGTCCAAGATCCTTGCATCCTGATCGCGCATCCTTACTGTACTGGTTGACTGTACGTATGTCAGCGGGGGGGGGCTCTCCACCCACCGCCCTGCCGCCCGTGTGCAGCAGGCTCCCACACCGCGGTGTGGACGCCCCGACCTCTGCAGCCCCGCCGACCGATCCAGCCCTGCACGAGCTCCGCCGCCGTGGCACCCACCATCCGCTGCTTGGCGGCGAGCGACGGGGCGTCGAGCAAGGTGCTTCTTGGCACGGGCCCCCGCTGTGCGTCAGCGGGGGGGGGCTCCCTCCGCCGCCCTGCGGTGCACCGAAGGCTCCTGCACCGCGGTGGGCCCCGATCTCGGCCCCCCGCCGACCGATCCAGCCCTGCACGAGCACCGCCGTCGGGGAACCCCCCATCCTTTGCACTGGCGGCGAGAAGGCTCGGAAGGATCGCGCCAGGAGCATGAAAAGGCTTGTTGTGCCAACCTACTTTATAGCCTCGACCACCAGAAAGCATTTCGAGCACCAAGACAACACCGAAACTGGAGGGTTTTCACGCGCCGGGCCCTGGGAGGCGATGGCCGTTTGAAACTGCTGCGGAAGGCATGAGAGGCCTCGCGAGGAGCAGGAACAGGCCTCCTCGGAGGGCTCGGAAGTCCCCCGGCCTCCCGAGAAGTTTCCTGAGCCTCCCCCGACGACGCAGGAAGCCTGTCAGGAGGCGCGAGTGCCTCTGAGAGGTCCCGCCGCCTTCTGAGGAGGCCCTCTCCTCCTCACTTCCCCCCCTCGCTCGCCGCCGACTTGCTCCTGCTTCGCGCCGCAGGTTTCTTCCTGTGGGCCCCAGGGCCCACGGCTCCCACGGAGGGCGATCATCCTTGCAAGGCCCGCGCCGGCGTCGCCGCCGCGCCGAGGCGGCAAGAACGCGCCGTCCACTCAGCTGCGCTCCGCTCCGAGTTCCTGCGCTCCCCTCTGCTCTCCCCCCGGCGACCGCGGACGCACACAGGCCGCGCGGCGAGAGCACGTGCTCCCACGGAGCTCTAGGGAGCCGCTGTGGCTGGCTCTCCCTGCTCGGCGCCCCAGGTCCGAAGAGAGGACTGGATGCGGTCTGGACTTAGGTCGGGCATGTCCTCCTACAGGCTGATTTTGGATGAAAAATATGAAGTAATCAAGTCAAGCTCAAAAATCATCAAAAATATTTAAAACAAAAAAAAACCTCCCCAGACTGGTTTTAACTATTTTTGGAAATTCCCCCTGTAGAGGGACACGCCCGTCGAGACTCCTGGCCTGGCCTCGGCCGCCACCAACCCGTGCACTGCGGGGCTTGGGATCCAAGCGCCAGGGTCGACTGGGACAGTGGGAGGCAGGACAAGAAGGGCCCAGGAGGAGGACGACAGATTGGGACAGGCTCGACGTAACAACGAAGCCCCTTGGGAGACCCCTGCAGCTCCACAAAGGCCTCCAAAGGCTGCGGGAGCTCCGGCTGCTGGACGACGACGGACGACGGCGCCCCCGCGCGCCACGAAAATACCCAGTGGCCCCCCCAGGGCCCCGCAAAAAGCCCGGAGACCCAACCCACAGAGCAAAGAACACTCCGCATCCTCGACCGCCCCCGGCGGGCGCTGCCAGAGGTGACCCTGGCCCCTGGCGCCCCCAGCGGCCCGCGCCCTTCCTTGGTGCTCTGAGGCCACCCGGGTCTCGCGATGGGTCCTTCGGAGGCCTGGGCCCTCCCTGGAAGAGCCGGGGCAACCTTGGGGCCAGGGCCGCCCCTGGCAGCACCCTGCCCTTAGAAGCAACAAGAACGCCATAAGCATAAGCATCTGGTGCTCCGCGTGGACTTCGTGGATCTGCGCTGGACCTGGGCCCCCCTCCCTGGCGCGCGGAACGCGCCAGGGGCGGCGCTGGAGGCGCCGCCATGGAAGACCATGCGCGGATCCAAAATATCCACGCGGAACGCCAAAAATTCATGTATATGGCGTTTTTTCTTCTTCGAGCCCTGACCCGGGAGGCACAGAGACATACTAGTACTATATGCTCTCCTTGAAAGCGCGCGTCAAACCCGAACAGACAGTATACCCATCTTGTGCTCTATCGTTTCCCGACTGACATGGCCAGAAAGCGCCCGCCACGACGCGTTTTTTTAGTATTATTTTTATTCGGCAACATAGAGGACCACTTCGTGAAGTATTCACCTGCTCGTGATAAGTGCGTATACTACACTCGAGAGCTGACAGGTCACTAGTGCCTTGCGTCACGCCGCAGAGCGTGATCCCATAATGGTCGAACACATCTACAACTACACACAGCAAAACTGCACCTTGTTGCGGGGACCAGGGGTGGCAATCATAATTCGATTTGGCGCGTCGGTCGGTCTGGGTGGACGGACACCGCTTCGCGACCTACGATGGAAGGCGATGGTCGCGCCGACGACGTTGCATGCCAAGCGCGGAAGCGATCACCACGTTGCACGGCGAGGCTTGGCGGCAGCCGAAAGAAAAATCATAACACGAAAAAGCGCTCACGCTCGGACGGGGAATCCGGCACGAAGAAGAATTGAAAGCGCAGGGGATCGAATCGCGAAGTTGCTGCTGAGGCACAAGCGGGGGAGGGAAGCGGGCTGCGCGACGTCGAGGCCCCCAAGGCATACGGCTGGCTTCGCTGAGCCAGGGGATGTGGGATGTCGGCGGGGAGCGGCCCAGGGGGCGGGGCCTCGACGATGGGCAGCGCGGGCAGCCGATGCTTCGCGAAAAGGGGACACGTACAGAACGGCACTTAGCGGCCGGGGCGCGGTACACGTCGGGGGCGCGAGTGGCAGCACCCGACATGCACCCCGCCCCGCCGGCTAGGTGTAGTTCTATAAGTGCTCCGTTTTGTGGCGATGTCTCCGGCGAAACCAGGACGCACAGAACTACACCTAGTGCCCGGCTAAGTGTAGTTCTGAACGCGCTGGATGTCTCGCGCGGGGCGAGCACGTACAGACCGGCACCTAGCGAAAGGGGCGGGGTACACGTCGGGTACGTCGTCGCGCCCCGCCCGCAGAGTCAGGAAGGCAAGGGCCGCTGAACCCCTCTGCTGGCCTCCGGGCGGAGGTGTGTGAACGTCCCGGGGCTATCAGAAGGAATTCCAACTGCGGCCTCCGCCCACATCGCTCCCCCTATCAGAATATCTCGCCTGGTCACTATGTTCACCATTCCCGCCCGCTGCTTTGCCCTCCCCCTCCCCCGTTTTTCCTCTACCTGCCGCCCTCAATTTCCCTGAGTGTTTCCTAGTTGCCCCTGGCCCCTGCGCGGCGGCAAACGCCCGCGCCCCCCCGCAGCTGAAAGACTCACCTTGCGCCCATCCTCCAATCCACTCGTGAGGCGCAACCCTTGGTTCCAGACTGACAATGGCAAGAGACGCCGAGGCCCAGGCAAATCCAACAGGCGCGATCGGCACCCTCGAATGGCGGGCGAACCAATACGTAAGACGATGTCGCAAAAATATGTTTGGAATTTCGGGATCCGCGCAAGAAGCTAATCGACTCGCGCAAAGTGTAGTTCTATGCCTGTCCGAAATGGGTAGTATGCAGTCCCCCCGATGAGAAATGAGAAAAGGGTTCAGAAACTCGAAAGCAAGTCCCCCCCTCGTTCTGGCGACTCCTGGCCAGGCGCAGGTCACCTGAGGCAAAGCCTCAAAACTGCCAAATCATCGCACGCTCGAGCAGCGGACACTGCCCCCGCTAGGTGTGCCGCACGAGTGAGAAACTGCCCAGGGCTGCTCTGAGAGCGCTGGCACCTGAGACACCCCGCGCCCCCAGGTCAGGCGTACGAGAACCGTTGCTGAAACTAGTGCCTAGGCAATCGAAGAAGGCGCCTCGGTACCCCAAAAAACTCAGCATCTATACTAAGGGTAGTGGTGGGAAATGTTGCATCGACTCCCGTAGCCCCTCGGCGAACTGTTGATTGAACGCTGAGATCATGTGCGTGCTAAGCCGATCCACGCTTTCAGCGTGGGCTTCGTCCCATGGTCGCAAAACGGAGGGTGTGCGCAGGCTACCCCAGATGCCCTCAGGACCTAAGAGCAGATCGGTCTGGTCGTCATCCCACTCGATTGTGCTCACGGTCCGGTTCCCAGCAGGCAGCGTCTCCAGGCAAGGCAGAATGGCCATGACGTCCGCGGCCCCGGAATCCTCGTAAGCGCTCATGGGCGCCACGCCAAAAGCCCTAAGCCGGAACAAATCCAGATGGGCGCGAGAAACTATGAGAATCTCGTCTGCGTAGGCGATGGGCAACCAGCGGTGCAAGCGGGACCTCAGCATGTCCCGAAACGGGATGTAGACCTCCGACATCGT